GTCCTGTCTCTTCCACCTCCTCCTCCCTCAGCCATTCCCCTTGGCCCTGCTCCAGGTGTTTATTTGTGAATGAAAGCTCAGAGAGGCCACCCTGACCCCCAGCAGCAGCCCCCCATTGTTGGGGGTACATGGGTCAAACCTGAGCACTCCCCAGCTGCCCCTTCCCTGGGTCCCAGGGAGCAGAGCTCATCCAGATTTCAGACAATCACAGAATATCCTGCAAGGGACCCACATGAATCACCCAAGTCCAACAATCTGAATAAAATGAATTTAAAAGAAAGAAAGCAAAGAGCCTCTGGCCACAACAGCCTCACACATCTCTGACCCCTCACCTGGTGGTTAAGGGCTTTTGCCTCCATAAAGTTAAAGATAAATAAATAAATACAGGATATGAAATCAGAGCAATCCAGGGGAGAAGGAGGAGCAGGGACCCCTCACCTGCAGAGCTGGACAGGTTTGGGACTCCTGGTTCACTGTCAGGAGAGCTCTGCTCCAGCTCTCCAAGGCTCTCAACATTGTTAATACTGAGACATTTCTTAAAGTTTATAGTCTAGAATCACTCACATATTTTTTTCATGCAATACAATGTTGCTTAGATTCATTTCCTGCTCACCAGAATTAATATTTTCAGTAAACTTTGCTGAAAATCAGTTCTTCACACTGTTCTTGTTCTGCATCTGCCTCCCTGAGCTCTCACAGCTCCCAGGTAATATATTAAGCACAACATAATTTTTCTGTAAGAAAAGTCAGTATATTTATGGTTTGCTTTATAAAAGTTACTATAATACAATGGTACATAGTATTCAATTCACAAAAATATGAACAAATATATACAGCATGACACATCCACAACAAAAACACTTTCTTCAAAACAAGATACATACTGGTGACAGATTCTATATGCACAAAACATCCCTAAATTTATAAATTTGCTTAACCAAAGAAAAAGCAGAAATCCTAAATCTTCAAAGCAGAGTTGTTTTTTTAAAGGAACTTAAGAAAAAAAAAATTAAATTTATTGCAAACAATTTGACCTGCCTACTTTTAAAGGAGGCCCTTGATTTTCACGCTGGGAATTAAAACCAGAAAACTGCAAGAATTGGGAGCTGGGTGTTCCACTTTGCTTCAAAACTGCCCCATTGTTTTAGAGTGTCCTTCTTGATGTGTTTGCACTTGGACAAATCCTACAGTGGCAATTTGAGGAAACTCATAAAAACAAAACAAATATTAAACTGAAAAAATCCAGTTGCTAATTTGCTTAAATACATTTTAGGGTGTCTATTAGACTGTACACATTTCCTCGCTTGAAATAAATAGATTTTGCACATAAGGTTTCAGACTGAGGGAGGGGGGAAAGAAGAAGCCTTGACTTGGCAATTTTTTGTCTTCAGTTTCTTAATGCTTCTAATTGCATCTATTTATTGACAAAAAAACCCCATATTTATACAGAATTTACATTATACAAAGCTTGACACAAGCTGTAAATGCCACCAGCTCCTTTGCTATACTCAGTCCTTCTTCCTCCCCATCGTGACATGATTTAGAGCTGGAATCTGTTTAAAAAGAACTCCAAATTACAATAGTCACTTTTAATAAACTATTTACATGCTCTTGAAGTACAAAGAAATCAGCAAAAAAATTTCAACATGTTTCTACAAGAAACAGTGTTCGAAGAGAAGATTCTTGAGTTCGCCTATGTACAGAAAATGCATTTTTTATACTTCAAAATCCTTTTTTTTTCCTTAAATTTTTATTTTGTACAGAAATGCACTGAAATGATCCCTGAAAAAGGTCACAAAAACCAGAACTGAAACTACTGTATTTGTTGGGGTTTTAAAATGATGGTTGTTTTTTCTTTCCTTGTAGAAATAAGCTGCTCTGTACAATATAAATAACTGCAGGATGAGCCCCATGCCCTCCAGCCCCCCAGATCCTGTGGATGCCAGCACAGAGGCACCTGCACCTCAGCTCCCACAGCTGCAAACCAAGGAAATTCTATTTCCATCATTTTGCTCTGTTCTCTTGGGTCACTCCTCCCAGGGAGATGGAATTTTGCAGAGAGCACTGTAAATTCTCTCTCTTTTTTTTGTCTTGGGCTGAAATGGAAGTGACAATAAACGTGGGGATGGGTTTCTCAGGGCACTGAGTGAGCAGCACGTGCTGCTGAGGCTCCCTTGTCCCTGTCCCTGCTCCCAGGGAGCCTGTGCTGAATGAAGCACAGCAACCACAGCTCCTGCCCTGCTCCCACCCCATCCAGGCAAAGCATCTGCGGCCTCTCCCACCCATCTGGGGCTGCAGGGCTGCCCATGGAAATCCCTGCACCAGGCCAGGGAGTCCTCACCATAAAATGATTTGTTTGGAGGTCAGGAAGCTTCTCAGTCCAAGACAAAAAATCTCCCAGGTGGGACTCTGTAAGCCAAGATTTATGGGGGAAAAAGAGAAGTCTCAGGTTTGGCTTTGAGAGCAGACATGGTTTTTCAGAAGCACTGTGGCTTCAACAGCTCTGTTCCTTCCTGGGCAAGTGCTGAGAGATCAGCTCTTCTAAAAACTCACATTATTTGTCTGGGATCCTAAAAGGGGATAAATTACAGGCAGATTCAGAAGTACCCAAGTGATTTAGGTGCTCATGGTCTTTGGCACCCAAATCCCTTTGGTGCTCCTAAAACACAGGACCTGAAGGTGACAGGGACCTTCCTCCCCAAGGATTAAGGCAAACTGCAGGGGCTGCTCCCAGCCAGGGCACAGAGCTGTGCTGGGAACACAGGGCTGGGCCAGCTGGGCTGTCCTCACCCCCACAAATGCACCACTGATGCACTGGATTGATGGAGCAGAGAGGGAGAAGGCCAAGGACAGGGGCTTCAGTTCTGACACACAGGAAACTTCTGTGCATTTCCAAAGCCTTGCCAGTCAAAGGCCAAGCTGTGGAGATGCCAACCAACACAGTGAATCTCACTGAGAAAAAATAACAACTAAACTGAGCAGCTGGCTTAACTCCCAAATGCCATCACTGCAGTTCCAACCAACATTCAGAGACAGAAACTTGTGCTTCTCATGATTTTAGGTTCTGGGTCACCAACACCCAGGGGCTGCAGAGATTTAGGAAGAAGGAGGAGAAACAAAACAGAACTGAAATAAAAGCAGAGATGGACCATGGGCTGTCCAATCTCAGAGCCCATTTGCTCGCCCTCAGGCAGGAGCACAGGTGGAATTAAGGCAGCTTTCAGCATTCTGTGTGTTCCTGCTCCCTCAGCCCTTTTGTCTGGAGGAGAAATACAGAGGCAGAGATCTAACCTACATTACAAACTCCACGCTGCAGTGCAGGCCTGGCAATTCCATGGAACAGCTGAAAAAACTTCCAGGAACCTCTTTTGCAAGGCTGTCACCTCTGAGGGGGTTTGGAAAGAACACAAGAATACAGCTCTGCAATTTGCTCTGTGGGGAGAAGGTGTTTAGTTATGCAGATAATCTTCCATTTCAGAATGACACTGCAGCTTCCCCTTACAAGCCAATTAAAAAGGGTTTAGTACAACTAATCTCTACTTTGAAAGGAGGAGAAATTCAATGCAAATTGAAAAACTGATCCTGTCTATACCTGAATGCTGGTGTAACACTTCCAGATCTCATCCAAAGAATTATTTTTTTGGTGTTTGGTCCCATTTTTAAATGGAACCTCTTGAAGAACTGCAACCTTCACCTCAGCACATCTACAAGGACAAAATATATTGAGAAATCATTTTAAAACATGCCTTCCAAATGTGGAGAAGCAATTCATTTGCATGCTATAGATGAGGGGAGACAGAATTGCTTTCAGGGACATTTCTACCATGATTTCTGGAGGGACAGGACCACCCCTGGCCAAGTTACTGAGTAACAGAGGGAGGAGAGCAGCAGGGCACAGCCTGCTCCTATCACAGGAGGCATCTCCCACATCCAAGGACAGAGCAAACACTCCCTGTAAAACACTGGAGGGGCAGGGAAATGCAGATGAAAGTGAGAAAAAATGAATACAAGTCACACATCAGCCTGATTGCCACCCACAGGAACAAAGTCCTGCTACAAACGTGGGCTGTAGTCTGTGCTTGCAAGCAGGGCAGGATTTCTACAGCATCAACAGGGGCTGAGCTCTGCACTCAATGTCAGCCTCTCCTGCAAGCAAGACAAGCCCATCCCCAAGGAATGGGCATCCCCAAAGGCCACAGCTGCCCCCACCTCTCCCTAGTGACTTGAGTACCCAAGGGTTTCTCACGTGCAGCTGCAGAGGTTTTGATCCCCCATGGACCAGCATGGCATGGAAAATGAGAGGGGAGCCCAAGGAGGGGAGCTGAGCTCTGGCTGACCTGAGCCTGCCCTGGGCTCTGCCTGAGGGGCCTTGTTCAGGCTCATCCCTAAGGAAAAGGCAGGACAGATCAGCTCCAGGCCCACTGTGACACATCACACACACACACACCCCCAAGCACTCACTCACTCACTCACTCACACACCCCCAAGCCTCTGGCTTGCTCTGTAACATCAACCTTACATTTATTTACAGCTTACTCTGAGAAATCTGTGCAATTTCAGCCAATCAAGCTCCCAACAAACCCTATATGGCATTTTCAGTCTCTGCTTCACATTTAAACGTTGAATGTCTTTTTCAACCAACGAAAACTGATGAGAAAAAGGTAGCAGCATTTATGAAACAATGAAGGCTTATAAGAACAATTAAAAAAAAAAAGGTACCATTATCCCATTATGGAGCATTACTTCAGGGACTGAACAGAGAAGCTAGTGTTTGGATAGACCATGCCACAAAAGGTAGCCACCTTTTTGTGTGCGTGTTGGATCTGAAAAGGAAAAAGCACCTGAAACATGAACAGTCCTCGTAAGCGTGTGCGCTTTTTGCTTTCACTCATGATCCTGGCAGAAGTGCGAAACTTGCTTGGTTTTCTTCTCTTTTTCCTCTTTTTTTTTTTTTTTTTTGGTAAGTATTTTTTTTGCTTTTAAATTTTTTTTCTTCCTTTTTTTCTGTAGGTTTTTTTTTTTCCTCTTTTTTTGGCAAAGTGCAACCACACCTGGTTACCACAGTTTTGACATGGCCGAAGGTGCAAGTGTGACGAGAAACCTCGAGTTCAGTTCAGGGTTCCCCTGCAGTTCTCAGAGCCACAGAGACACGGGATCTTTACATCCTCAATTGGAAACTTGTAGTCGTAGGTAATTTCCTCGTTCACATTGATGTGCTGCTTGGAGTAGATAACGATCTTCTTTTGAGACTCCACCGTGATCACTTTAGCATAACAATTTGGCTGCAAGGGTGACACAACAGGTGAGGATGCAGGTTCCAGAGTGCCACAGCTTCCCAGCCTCCATACAATTATTTCGAGATAAAATAAACCAGGGCAACCCTTTCCCGAGACAACCCCAGCCACACTTTCAGAGCCTGGACTCAGGAGGGAGGTATGAAGCCAGAAATCAGAGCAGCCCCTCTTGTGCTGCTCCAAAATATCCACATTCTGCTCATTTGTGCAGCAAAAGAGCCTGGATGATGCTCCATCAATTTTGTCCCAGGTTAAGAGAAGCTCAATGCTTAACAGTTTGGCCAGGCAGGCAAGTCTGAGTGCAAACTGCAGCACAGAGCAGAGCAGGAAACTGCAGGGAATATTTTCCCATGTGGACACTAGAAGGAGCTGAATTTCCCACAGCTGAAATTTGCTGTGTTTTAAGGAAATATTTGTTAGATTTGCTCGCTCAGTGTCCATCAGGTTCCCTGAGACAGCCAGAAAGGCTGCTGAGTGCACTCAGTCTCCCTGCATGTTTCACTCCTCAGGTCTCTCCAAGCTCTTCACACTCCTTTAGACCCTGCTCTGACCTGCTGTGGCTCATTAACATTTAATTACAACCCTGTGGCCCCCTGCCCCTTCTGAGCACCCCAATCAGGCTGGCAGGGCCTCCCCGGGTTTGTCAGCTGCCAGGGAACAAGGACAGGCCAGAACAGATACTCACATTGCAGCTGTGATTGATGAACCTGGCGAAGTTCCCACACTTGGTGGCATCGATGATGGTGTCGTGGTCGACTCTGAACATGTAACTGCTGCCGATGCCCTCGTCCTCGTATCGCTTCTCACGCATGTCAGCAATGACCTGCAGGAAGCCAGGCAGGCTCAGGCCAGCTGGGAGCAGCCACCTCACCCCCACAAGGCTCCCCTGAGCTCTGCTTGTGCCAGGCAATGGGGCTTTACACCATCCCCATCACCCCAAGAGAGCACACACCTCACTGGAAACAGAAGTTCAGGATGGGCTTCTTAAGGAGGCTTCTCCTCAGTGCTCAGTTTCCATGGATTGTTGGAATTCACACCCTTGTAGCTCCAAACCATGCCAACCTGTGCCCAGCCCACAGAGCTGACACCTCCAACCCAGGACCCCAGCCCTTGCTGTCATACTCAAGGATTTCACCCAGGGCTGGTTTTTGCTCAGATTTCAGCCACAGCTTACCTGCCTGATGTTCTGCCCCACGTACTCTATCACCATCTCATCAGCTGCAATGGGCTCCATAGCAAAAAGGCCCCAGTCGTGAATGTGGCTCTTGCAGAATTTTAGTTTTTTCTTCCGGAACTGTGTGAAGAAAACACCCCAAAACCCAACCCTGAATTAGCCACAGCACAGAGCAGGAAAGGATGTCTCTGGGTCCAGGATCTGCAGCAGGGGGTGCTTACCTTGAGCTGGTTGAACTTGAGCAGGTCACTGTCACAGCTACCAGTGAAGGAGGAGAGGAGCCTGCGCTGCTCCGATCGCCTCTCGGAACCAGCCCGGGTGGAAGCGTGAGGTTGGGCAGGGATGCTCATGCCCTGAGAGGACAAATGGGGGATCAAAGCTGACCCAGCACCCTGCAGGCTCCCTGTGAGCAGCCCCTTGTGCCACAGCTCATCACCACAGAACACCTGGCATCAAACATTAGCACTCCCCACACATCCCCAGGACAATCAAGGAGACGCAACAGTTCCCTGTCCCTCCCTGCCAAAAGGCAGGAAGCACCTGCTGTGTGTGACAGTGTCAAACCAAACCCCTCTCACAGCTGGATTCCTCACCTGGGTGTCAGCTGGAGGCTCCTCTGCAAAAGCTCGGCTATTGTTGAGGTATTTGAGTTTGTCCTTCTTATCAATTTTGTAATAGCCCTCGCTCCGCGCGCAGCCCGTGACGTGCTCCCGCATGCCGTCATCCCGCTTCTTCTTCTTGGGGGTGGAAAAGCTGGTAGGTGCCAAGAGGTTAAGGAGAAACACAGCCAGAGGTGGATATCAGACTAAACTCGCTACAGTTGCATGGAGCTAACACCAGGAGCCTGGAAAATTAGGAAGGTTTTGTGGGGTTGTAAAAAATAACATTACTACTGGAAAGCCTTGGGGAGGAGCTGCTCTCAGCAGCCTTGGGAAATCAGCTCCTTCAGACACATCACAAACCTTCAGGGCTGTGGCTCCTGAAGGACAGCGGAGCTGAACTGCTGCCAGCTCACCCCACAAACACAGCCATGAAAGCCACAACAACCGAGACTGACCCAAAAATGCTTCCTGTGAGGGAAAATGTATCCTTGACACCAAAACACTGAAGCAGAGGGACCATAAAAACCAGGAGGTGACGGCCTCAAAACCAGAGTGCTGAGGGTTGGCTGCAAGGCAGGTGAGCCTGCAGGTACTTTCACACTGGTCAGGCAGTGTGACACACGAACTCAAGGTGATTTGGAAGTGGCTTAAAAAGTGAGTGTAATTTTGCTGTTACAATATAATCCTTATCAAGATGGAAAGAGATTTATTTTCACTATGGGTTTTGTTAGTTATCACTGACTGTTTTAGGTGGTTTGGGTTTTTTTTGGTTTTGCTATCCTGTCTTGCAGGAAGCAAAGGATGAAGATATCTGAACTTCACACAATCTCTAGCAACACACAAGGTGGTGTGTTTGTCTTCTTCAACACATAAACCTGGACATCCTTCCTGAAAAAAGTACTGGAGAGTTCTGAGGTTTTCAGAACAGTCTTTTAGGCTCTGCTCTGGAGAACACCACTGGTGGCTGCACACACACAGAGCCCTGATGTGCCATTTAGAAAGCTCTGATTTTATCAGTATTTCAACCTCAAAGCAACTTAAAGCTGCTAGAACCACTAACTCATTGTTTTGGGCACAGATGGTGAGATTATTTTTACAGCAAGTTTTAGCTCCAAGTGAAAGCTCTGTAGGTGCACACGAGAAATTCCACAGGAAAGCTGGAAAAAAAGTCTGGTTACATGCAGACAGAAGCTTCTCAAACTAGGAAGGAAACCTCCCCAGAAGAGGTGCCTACAGAGTGTCCCTGCACTTCCAGACTGATCGTGCAGCAGGAACAGCCACTTCTGCAGTATTTTTGTATTGCAACTTCAGAGAATGAAACAGTCTAAAACCCCCTGCTCATCCAAACAATCTCTGTTCCTGTAAGGAACCACCAACTTCTCGTGCACCTCACACGTGCAGCACCCCGTGAGAAAGGATATAAGGATGGAAAACCCAGAGGGTGTCATTGAGCCAGTCCATACCGTTGTCCTGCTGCAACAAGCGGTCGTAGGTGATGCACATGAACTTGATGTCCTCCTCGTCGATGCCCCCGTTCCAGATGTCGTACAGAATCGTCATCTCCTCAAACTCGGAGCGCGGCCTGAACTGCGGCTGGGGCGGGGAGTACTCGGGGGAAGGGATCACCGGCAGCTCCTCGGATTTCCTCTGCCTCCGCCACTGCCGCTTGGGCTTCGCGTGAGCCTCCTCCTCCTTCAAGTCTTCGTTCCACTGGTTCTCCAGTTCCTTGAATGGCAGCTTCTCTGCAACTGTCTCAGCTGCTATTTTCTCATGGAAACCATCATTCCTGAAGTCCAGGGTGACGGCTTCAGGGTCTTTCAGTCCGTAGTAGGCATCAGGATGTCTGCTCAGCAGCTCTTGGCCCACGGCATCTTCCACCAAGGCCACTGGCATGGGAGGAGGTTCTATGGTTTTGCCCGAGTACACATCCAGAGAGAGGACAGAGGGTGGGGACCGTCTCGGCCGACCTGGCCTCCTCTTGGGAAGAACAGAAGGTGGTGGTGGGGGAGGAAGGATAGAAGCCCCAGGGGGTACCTCTGGGGAGAGCAAAACAGGTTTTACTTCTGCCTTGCATTCCTCGATGGGCATTCTTCCATCTCCATGCACGCACGGCAGGGCTGCTACAGGTATTGGCTCATCAGGTGGCAAAGCCATGTCCATGTGGAAATCTGCTTGTGGGGGGCTGGCAAAGGGGATAGGGGAAGGAACACTGTTCATGCTGATCGTAAGGGAAGCACCAAGAGGCTCTTTAAAGGTTTTCTCTTCTAGCTCATCCTCTGACTGCTTCTTGCCAGGCAGAAGGCAAGGAATGGTAGCACCAGCCTCTGGGAAAGTAGGCGTGAAATTGAAATCCCTCCCAGGAGTCCGAGGAATGCCACTGTTAATGCCAGGGGATTGGGATGGGTAGGAAAAGGGGCTCCCTGGGACCTGAGGGGAACTGAGGGTCAAACTGCTTCCTGTAAGGGGAGCATCACTTCCTGGCGTGGCTGGAACAGTGTCCGTGCTCTGCGACTTCGTCAGGGGGTGCGAAGACTTGGCCAAAATGTCCCGCCCGGGAGTCCTGGGAATCTCCTCCTCCACGGATGTTTTGGTCACCAGTAATTGTTCAGGGAACTTCTCTGGAGGGACTAAAGGCTCTTCCTTGCCGGGAGTGGTTGGCAAGGGAAGCATGGAGGATGGCACCTTGTGGGCTGGCAGCAGGACAGTCTCAGTGTCCGGGTGGATCAGCACCTCGCGCCCCGGCGTGCGCGGCAGCCGCTCCTCCTCCTCCGCTTTCACCCGGCCTTCCAAGCTGCTCTCCTCAGACTTGCCAAAGAAGCTGCTTTTGCTGGGCAGAGGTTCTCCAAAGACTCCTCCTGGAGCAGAGATACAGAGAGACGCCTCCTCATCCTGAGATTCAGGCTTTGGACCTTCCTGTACCTCTGGCTCCAGCATGGGAGTGGGTTCGGACTCTTCCTCTGAAAGGGGAACAGAGAGGAGAATCAGCAGCTTTGCCTCCACTTGGTTACTTGCCACTTGCTCATAAAGACATGTTGAAGATGCCACAATTAAAATACAGCTCAATTCCACTGGGAGGCTTTAAAGCTCCAGTGCTTTACATTTTGGAGGCACAGAGTGTAGAGTAATTAGACACTACCACACGCTTTCCTAATGGACCATAAAAAACCCACACTATTAATTTGAGGATTAACTACGACACAGACCAGAACGAAGGTTTCTCTGCTTTCAAAAGCCTTGACAACCTTTTGTACAGACATGAAAGGAATGAGTGGATTGTGGGGTGAGGACTTTGGAGGAGAGCTGTCAGAGCCCAGAGCTATCACCTTTCCCAATGTGGGAACTAAACCAATTGCAGGCCAAGGAGCACCCTCAGCTCTCCAAGGAGGGAATGGTGAAAGGAATAGCAGAAAACTCCTGAACAACACATGAGGCAAACAGGAAGCCCTTGTAATAGATGAGGACACACTCAGATGGTATCAATGAGGCAATTTATATGCTGCTCTCCCTGCAGCAGCCTCATTTGTCTGGAGTTTATTTACCCACTTAGGGCCAGGTCCAAAAGGAATCAACGGTGAATCTTGTTAGGCAGCTCAAAATAACATTTTTAAGTGGGAGAATGAAAGGAGGTGAAAATGCCTGGAGAGTTGGAAGGGAGGCATGCCCTGCTTGTGCTGAACAAACCAGGGCTGCTGGAGAAGGGTCTGAGCCCTGCCACTCCTGCATGAGCTGGGTTGCTCAAGGACAATGCTGCAGTTGGAGTTTGTTCTCACAGCTTACCTGGAAAGCTCCTCACACATGTCAAGTTGCTCAAATGCAAGTGTCTCCAAATTTATGTTCTTTCAGCACACTGACCTGTTCTAGAAAGGATTCATGCAAAACCAGCTCTTCTTTGCCCTGCCCAGTTTAACATTTTACCTCTTTGTGACTTTCAGATTTTGCAGCAGCCAAGGAGTGACACCCTGTGCAGGGATTGGATTTCCAGCTCTCCAAGTGTCAGAACAGTGCCCAGTCCTCAGACACCAGAGCTGCCCAAGGCTCCACAGCAGGCCCCACTAGATCTGCCCTCCCTGTTGGCTCCAATTCTAACTTTTAGATTTCCCCCAGTTGCCCAATTACTCAAGCTTTATGCATCTCACTCCTGTTCTAATAAAAGGTTTCCAGTTTCCTTGGGTTAAGTACAACTCTGTATTGATTGAAGACAATTTCCTTCTTCCAGAAAACTACTGAGTATCACTCATTTAAAAGGAGTAGGTGACAAAACCACTCAGAAATAATATTAGGAACCATAGATAACTCTGAGACTCCACTCACCTGCCCCATGCAGCTTCCCTGTCACATCCTGCTTCGATATTAAAACCAAAAAGAACCAGTAGTGACATTCCTGTTCTGTTTTAGCAGCCACAGCTTTTCTATCTTGAGCTCCAGCCACCACACCACCCGATCAGTCACCCTCAGACGATGACAACTGTTCAGTTCCTCTAGGACTCCAACTAAACTGGCCCAGGATAAGATTCTGGATACAGTAACCACAGTATTTTTAGTAGCAGCTGGCTCATGTAAAGCTCCTTACTAGGAAGGAAAGTTCAGCACAGAGCTCTCTCCCTGTACAGATAATCCCTAGCCTAGAGCCAAGACTGGAAGAAGAAAGAGAACAAGGGAAATACAAACCCATATTGGATCCTGGGGGAAAATTTACTTGGAAAGATAATAACAAAACTCCAAAGCACATGGAAGGGCATACCTGGCCTACAGATGGGAGAGAGTGCAAGCTTTGTCTCCTGGTCTCTTTCCATAACCAAATGTTTCAGAGTTTCAGCAGCAACAGGAGCCCCCAGGACTTGGCCACACTCACTATCCCCTGCCTTGATTTCTTCACTGCCTTCATCTTTCACTGCCAAAGCTGGCTCAGCAAGTCCCAAGTCTGTGGCATCCATGTAGTCCACAGGGTACAGGTCCAAAATCGTCTCCCTCTCATCATCAGGAATCTCATGACAAGCAGGTTCAGGCTCTGGCTCAGCAACCATGGCTTCTCTGCCTTGATCTTCAGCCACCTCTTCCCCCTCTTCTTCCTCCTCCTCTTCATCATCATCATCATCCTCCTCATCTTCATCATCTGAGTCTGAACTTGACTCGAATTCAGAGGAGTCCTCACTCTCATCAGATGATTCAGCTTCAGCCTTGGAAGACGAGGGACTTGCTACATCTGCAAGAACAAACTCCATTAGCTCTGCTTTCTGCCTTTGACAATCAGTCAGGGGCAAACATCCCTTCCCCTGTAACAGTGTGGAAACAGCAGCACCAGCAGCAGGTGGGTTTGAAGGAGTGGCCTCCCAATTCAGTTATTTTTGCAGAGATTGATGAATCCTGTCCCTCACAACAATCACCATACAACAGTGAGTAGTGGTGCTGCCTGGCACCTCCCACCTGGGTCTCTTGGTGTATTGTATCTTTTATTAAGATTTTCTGCTGCCTTTACACATGGCCTTAAAAAGTGGAAACTACCACCTGCCAGAACAGGAACTGATTGCCCTTTTCAGAAACCTGGTCCCTTCTCCCCCCAGCCACTCCTCCTTCACAAAACAAGCACACATTTAGCTGGGCTTGAGACCAGTGCCCCTGGGGCTGGGCTGGGCTGAGATCAGGTAGGGACTGGAGGGGCTCAAAAAGGACCCAGTGACTGAGGGATCATGGAAACCTCAGAGGTATTAATTAAAAATAGCTCTCTGCATTATATTGTGTAAAACTGCCCAGTGAAAGGAGGTACACAAGTAACAAAATCAGCTCACAAAGGCAGAAGGGAGACCACAGCTGACCCAAAGGTGACATTTGTGACACTGCTTCCACTCCTTACCCTCCTCGGAGTCCTGCTCCTCCTCCTTGTCACTTGTGTCTATGCCTGTCTCCTCCTCATCATCTTCATCCTCGTCTTCGTCATCATCTTCATCCTCATCATCTTCATCATCCTCCTCCTCCTCTTCCTCCTTTGCAAAACAGATTGCCAAAAATGAACAGTGCTTGAGCCTGTCCCTGGCTGCAGCAACCAGCAGGGACTCTCAGGGAGGCTGCCAGAGAGCCTGAAGAGGGAGTGACTGGCAGAGCTCTGTAAGGACAGACAGACAGACCGACCCCACCAGGAGCACTCATCTCCCAGAAAAGGGAACTCTGGCACTTGGCATGACCAGGCCCCCTTTTAATGACAGACAGCACTGAGACTGCAGCCTCACACCAACACACCTTGCCAGGTGCTGCTTTCACCAAGCCTCCCTCTTCCTCCTGCTCCTCTTCCTTCTCTGAGGAGGACTCTTCCTCTTTCCCTGATGTCTCATCTCCCTCCTCTCCCTCGCTGTCCAGCTCCAATGGCCTCGCTGGTCGCCGCCGCAGCCCCACAGCCTCTGCGTCCTTCTTTGACAGGTCAGATGTTGTATCAGAAGCATCCCTGTCCCTCTCCGACTCTGAGGAGCAAAAGCAACAGCAATTACCATCAAATACCTTGGAAAGCACAGAAAGATAAAACTACATAAGGGAAACTTCTTCTTTGCTCCTGACTTCCATCTTCCCAATGTGCCCATGTGGTGTGAGGGTCCCCAGGCTTACAGGGACCTGCTGATGCCACATGAACAGTGCTGATGGCAAATGTGGGTGGCCAAAGCTGACAGGAAACACAGCATGAGTGAGGTCAAGAAAGGCAACCTGAATTTAATGCTTTTATGTTTCATTTTTTGGCTTCAAAACCACTTGTTAATCTGAAACGACTTCTACATGAACCCATGTGCAAAACAAAGGGTATTCAAAGCTTTGTCTCTTTACTCTTCTCTGGTAATAGGAAATAATGTTAAGATATTTTCAAACAGATTTTTCTGGCAAGTAACTTTGGTTTCTTTCTGAAATCAAAAGCAGGGCAAACTGTTGCGTGCTTCCTCCTGCCACAATGCAGGGAGCTGTGAGCACACCCCAAAGAGCCCATGAACCCATCTGAGCTCCTTCTGCTGGGGCCCAGCACAGCTAAAATAGGTTATGAGTTATTCTTAAAATGTGGATCTTAAACTTCCCACCAGTGAATTTCGGATAATTGAACCCAGAGGGGCCATGGCCCAGCTGATCAGAGCTCTGTGAGAAGCAGGGTTTGGCTCAGATCCTTGACTCTGTGTTTAACTGTAAGTGAGCACACTGCTGTGAAGTTTAAAGGATTCAGCTTGGTGGGGTTTGCATCTGCTCCTGGGTTTCAAACAAATGCACTTTGCAAACCTTCATCTTCATCATCCACAGAAGTAGAAGGCCGGATTCTCTTCTGATCTCCCGCTGAGGCAGCTTCAGGTGGCTCCTTTCTTTTCACCTGAACAAAAGACACAATTAGCATTTCTGAAAGTTTAGGAACAGCAGAAATCAACTTCTTAAGCAAATTGCCACTTCTTTACTTTGCTGTGGTCACAGCAGAAACCAAGGGCCACTTCCCAGCTCTTGATCTCTTTATTTGCTTGCAAACAGAATTTCACTCTGAATGAAACTCTACCCCTTCAATTTGCATGAAAACACCCTGGGTACCAGCATGGTGCATGTCATCACCTCGTACTTGGGGATGACAGAGAAAACTCTTGACAAATCCATGTGTCTGAGATTGCAGCAGAACAGAAAGAGAGCCTAAGCCCAGGGCATCTTAAAGAACCTCAAAGCAAGTTTTACTCTAAATAGAGACTGGAGAATTTCTCATCCCAAACCTTTTACTTGCACCTTCTGTGCATTCAAAAATCCTAATTTCAGGGAAGCTCTCTACAGCCTCCTACCCCAAACTTTAAGATACTTTTAATTTTTTATGCAAATGCTTTTCAAAATGGATACCCTGTGCTTCTGAGGAGACAGAGTTCAAGCAAACTGAGACTCAGCTGCCAAGCCATCAGAGATTCCAGCCAGAACAGTAACTGTGTAAAGCACCATCAGCATACATGTATTTTATGATGATGCTGAAATGCTGTGTCCCAAAGACAGGGAGATCCTCTACAGCCAATTCACACAAGGGGAGGATGAAAAGGGAACAGAGGCTCCTTCTCTGGTCCTTGGGTGTCAGAAGCAACCCCAGAGTGGAGTGAACAGCCTGAGGGCTCTGGGGCACAAACCCAGCAGGTCTGTCCTCCCAAGGCTCCTGTGGGGGGTGGCAGCACAAGGAAGAGAGGTTTTGCTCTCACCTTGAAGGAGGGCAGGCGGATGGCGCCCCGCAGGCCGATGCCGAGGCCGATGGCCTCGTAGCCCAGCCCTTCTCCCTTGTTCCAGTTCTCCAGCAGACAAGAGGCCATTCGATCCTTTGGCTTTGGTTTTTCCTCCACTTCTCCTCCAGACTTCACTGGAGTGAGAGATGCCTGCAACAGAGAAGGCACATTTGAGAGGGGAGGTTTCCTGGGAAGGACACAAAGTCTGGAAATCATTTAAACAGTCAAGGTTTGGGAAATACCACTGCCCTGCCCAGGTACCAGTTTCTTGGAGGGCATCTGAAGGTGCCCCACACCTGAAAGGAACTAGAGCTGCATAGAACAATAAAAATAATTTGAGTGTGCTTTAGGCAAGTCAGCCCAACAATGTGTTATCCACCTTCCCTTGCTAACCCACATAACCGAAAGCAACTCCAGACCTTCCAGTTGGGAACATCTTCCTTCTGCTGAGTGCAAGGCCAAATATAGTGCATAAAAAATCACACACATCCCTGTGTTCCCTTAGCAACCAGAGCCCCAGTCCACAAAACCTGTCAGAAGGCTCCAGTCCTGGCAACACGGACATGAAAATGTTTAGGTGAAACACCAAAGGGTCTACAAAATAGACACACAGCTTCAACAAATCCTTTTTCAGCAGAGCTGAGGTGTGAAGGAAGAGCAGGAATTCAGCTCTCTGCAGCTGTGGAGAGGTGGACAAGCCAGCAGAATGTCACACATGGTGGCACATGATGTTCTGCCCAAGGCAGGGGCACTGGAGGTGACACTCACCTGCACCACCCCAAACAGCTTCTCCTGCACACCCTGCCAGAGCTCACAGGCTGAAGTGGGCTGTAATCACCAGAGGCAGCACAAGCTCAGCTCTCCTGCTAATTAGGGACAAGACTAATGGGAATATCAAGCAGGGAATCCAAGCAGCAGCATTCTGTGGCCAGGATGCCTGGTTACTCCTGGCACTCTGCTTAATGCATCTTACCCAGGCTTTCAAACCCAACCCACCACTAGCTCTGGGAACAAAGAAAAGCTTTGCCCTAGCTCAGGCAGAACAGGTCCATGGAATGTGCTGCCTTCCCCAGCAACCCGCTCCCTTCACCCCTTTCACACATTTTCCACCCTGCCTGACCCAGGACACCAGATTTATCCTTGAGCCTTCCCACCCTTTTCCTAGGGCATGATGCCTCTTGGAAGTCACTCAGCTGCCAGAGCTGGAATCAATCAATCAATCAATCAATCAATCAATCAATCAGCTGCCTTTGATGGAACACAGCAGCCAGAGCACTTGGGGAACTGACCTCCAGCTGCCACCAAGGAGCCCAGTAACCCCCCTCACACACACAGACACCAGCAATGGGAAGGTACAGTTAAATACTCAGTTTAAGCTGAATATTCAGATTTTGTTTTCTGCAAAAGCTGGCAACTTGTGCCTGAGAAGGAATCCTGTCCCACCCCAATGCCAGGGGTGCCCAGTCCTAGCAGAAAGCTCTGAAATCTATGAGGTTTTTCTGCACACAACAGTAACACATGCCCTGGGGCAGAAAGGGTTCTGGCATCTCTGTTCCTGGACAGAGAGCACACGTGGTTTCCCATGCAGCAATTTCACATTTTCAATTACACTGCTCACATCCAACATAACCTGTGGCAAGGACTGTGGTGAGCTGCTGTGGTACAGTCAGCTTCCCTTCCCAAAACGGCTTATAAACCCCAGGTGAGGGAAGAACACCCCAAATCCAGCCATAACTTGGGATGTCAGTGAGCCTGAAGATCTGCCTCAACTTGCTTCTGCTTCTTCACCACAAATGTCTGGTTTAAAACAATTTCTTGAGTGTTTCAGTTGCTGTTTTTGCAACCCTTTGCTGGATGTTTCCTTCATTGCCCTGGAAACTCACAGGCCTCCTCCAAGACTGTCAGCACACGCTTGCTGGCAGGAGAAAAGCTCTGAGCATTAGTCAGGAGGAAGGGACGGGGTTTCTGCTGCACGTCACGCCAGCCAGCTCTAAGCCACAGTAAATTACAGTGTCACAAAGCAGCTGCTAAGCAGCAGCATGACCAACTCCTCCAGAAAGCCAAGGAGCTCTCCCAAGCACCAGAGTTAACACACAACTGGTTCACACAAACAGGTGGTGAGGATATTGCTCTGAAAACCGACATCTGAAACAAACATACCTGCAGGTTGTGGTTTGTTCTTTTTACAGTAATTCACTGCAATGGTAATTTTGAGGTTTGCATTAAACTTACTGCAGTGTTAGGTTTTTTGGGTAGTGACAAATTCACCACACATTAGATCACAGAGCTGCTTGCTGGCTGAGGTACACTTCAAATTGGGTGAGAAAAGGATCAGAGGATTCATGCAAAGTGTTTTCTCAACTAATCCTTGGAACTCTTGGTGTATTTGGCCAATGTTCAGCTTTTGAGTTAATTGCTGCCTTGCACATGCACTGGGGAGGGGGCAGAACTGGAAATACCCACAAATCTCATTGCACAAAGTGGGGAACACAAGACACAGGCTTGGTGGTTTCAAACACTCCTCTTGCATCTGACTTTAGTTTTTCAGAGCTAAACTTCAGTTTCCTCTTGTACATGAAAATTTAGGGGTTTGGGTTTTTTAAAGTCAGCTCCAGACCCCTGCTGACCCCACACACAGGCCACAAGAACTAACAACAGCTCTCCCCAGGACAGAACATGTGAAAACTGACCTTTGCCAGACGTTCCTTCTTGTCCCACCAGTCATCAAACGCCCGGAACGCCACCACTTCGACCATCTTGCGATTCAGGTCCCTTTTCATGATGGCCTTGAGCTCCTTCACTATGACCAGGAGGACTCCATCCACCGTGGCCTTGTGGGGATCTTCCTTCTTGGGCTCATAGCCCGGGGGAGGAACCGAGGGGTCGAACTTGGGCAGCGGCGGCCACTGCTGCCCGCGGGCGAGGGCGGCTCCCATGGAGAAGGGCCGGTAGGGAGGGAGGTTCACAAACTGCATGCGGCCCGCCATGAAGGGCGGGTACTGGTACGTGTTCTGCGCCTGCATCATGCGGCTCAGCATCTGCGTTTGCATCTGGAAGGACATGGGCATGCCGCCCCACTGGTTGCCCAGGACGCTGATCATGTCCACCTGCATGACCGGGAACATGCCGGGGTGGAAGGGGGGCAGCGGGGGCAGGATGTGGGGCGGGGGCACCCCGGGCGGGGCGGGCAGCGGCGGCGGGGGCACCGTGACCGCGGGGTGAGTGGGCGGCGGGGGGGGGGGCAGCGGAGGGGGCATGGGGAAGCCCGGCTGAGGAGGAGGAGGGGGAGGAAGAGGAGGGAATCCCGGGGGTGGCAGCGGGGGGATGGACGGGGCCATCACGGCCGTGTTGCTGACGGAGGAGTTCACCATGATGGTTTTGGCACATTCCGCGCTGGTGATGGGCGCGGGGTTGGTCTCGTCGTCAGAGATTTCCATGTCCTCCCCTGAGGAATGCTGACCCTGCCACAAAAGAGAGAGAAAAGGTGACGAGCACATTCTCTTTACATTAAATACCACAGCGCTGGGCTGCTTCAAACAAAAGCTAAGTTTAACACACATTTTAATTGGGAACGCAGAAAAGCGAGCGATGCTCTGAAAAGCCAGGGCCCACTGTGCAGCTGGTGCCTATTGAAGCTTTTCTCTTCCGTGTCAGACCTCAGGAACCAGAGAGGTAAAAGCTTTCTAAAAGAGCATCAGCACCAACTGAACAAAACCCTCAGTCTATGGAGCAGGAGGAATTGCTCCCATGGTTGGTGAAATGCACACAATCCAAACATCCTTCACTGCAAGATACATTATCTCTTATTTGTATCTAGTACTCCTAGGTACATTACACCATGAGTTGTTATTCCTTAGTTTTTCCATGCACAAATAATTATCCTGGTTTTCAATTATAATCCCTGGCTTGTTTGCTGTCAATTCCTAACCTCTAATTGTGGAAACACAATACCTCCACCACAAGGCTGCTGCTACTAAAAGTTGTCTTGACTAGACCACAGCAATTCACGTGGGAAAAAAGAACCCCAAATCTGGTTAAATTGCTTTTAAACATCAAAGTCATCAAAGTCATAAAAAGCTGGGATTCAAAGACATAGCTCATGTTGTGTTTTTAGACAAAATGAATACTTTACTAGACACAAGAAACACAGACTTGTAAGAAAATGCTAAAACTGTGTCCTACCTCTGCTGCCAAAGGGATGGAAACTGGATTAAAATAGAGGGTGCCAGCTTGCTCTGAAGTTTCAAAGCTGCCTGACTAGGTCTTGTACAAAAGAGAAGTCTCAGGAAACACCTCCACCCCCAGCAGCACATGGTCACACCTGCACTCTGTGTCCTACAGGCACTGCAGTCCTCAAGGTGTCTCCAGCACCAAGAATCCACATGCATGAGTGTCACATCCCTGACAGGAAATACAGTAACCAAATCCTGCTGGGAGATATATCCACAGGGCGACAGTTTATCTAGGAAACATGAATGGGGCTGATCGCTGACCAGAGTGATGACAGCACACAGGACAGTCCCTGTAACCTCCAAACGAGTGTCTCACATTGCTGATGTCAGTGAAGAACCGCCCGTGTCCCCAGCCCAGGGCACGGCAGGGATGCTGCTCCTGGCCAGAGCCCTCCTGCTGCCCTGGAGCCAGGAATCTCCATCAAGTGCCTCTCTCTGGCACAATCCTGGCAAGAGTTTTGGAACCTGCTGGCTGTTATCAGCCAGATTTGACTGTAGATCTCAAAGATATTTATTGTTTGCTCCACATTTCGTGCCAGCAGGTGCCTCTTCTGTCTGCTCTCCCAACAGTCTCCCCAGTGTGAAAGGAAAGAGCAGCATCAGACACTGGAGAACCTGGAAGTTCTGGGAAGAGCTGCTGAGGAGCAGACTTTGTTGGCAGTTTTCACATTGAAGCCGCTGTGATTTGATTCTTAACCTGTGAATTTCTCACTGGCGTGTGCAAACAAAAGCAGGAGCAGCTGAGTTGACTCTGCTACAAACTGTCACTGTGTGAAACTGAGCAACCACAACTATCCCAATCACTCCAAATGTTTCCCGTTTTATCAAAGGTCATCTCTGCTACAGCAGCCACCACCAGAGAGCAGGCTGAGCACAAGGCTTGCAGCAGCAGCTGTGCAAATCCTCCAGCCCTGGCACCTCCCCTCGCCCTGGCTTCCCTGCATTCCTGCGCTGCAGCACCGGCTCAGCGCCTCCCGCAGCACCGGGGTCACCCCAAAAACCACCCACAGCTTTAGTGCCCAAACTGCCCAGCAAGGAGACGCCATCCACCTGGCAAACCCTGAGCAACAGCTACTGACCCCTGGCAATGGTGATGGAGAGGGGACTCCCCTGGAGTCACAGAGTCACTTTAGTGCATCTGTGCATGCAGGAAGAACTCCGAGGGCTGTTTGCAAACCCTAAACTGAACAGCTAAAACAGAAGTAGAGGTGATGACCCATGGGACCCAAGTCCTTCCAAAGGCCAGTTGTATCATGCCCTTGAGCTGCCCACATCTGGCTCACACTTGTCCCCCTGCATCCTCTCCCCAGCTGCTCTATTGCGGTCACGTCCCACGCCGAGGATGGAGGGGAATAAAAGGACATTCTGCACTTTCAACCACTGCAGCTCCAGTGAAAGGAGCAGAGGAAGAGCAAAAAGGATGGCTGTGGCAGGTGTAAACAAGATTCCTGTGAAACAGACCCTGGTTTTCAGTAAGTGAACACAAAAGGCCCTGTTAAAAGCACTGGCTCCAATTGCAAACACTGGATGATGCTAAAGGTTGGCTCAGGATAGAAAGCCAGGAGTGCTCAGGCTACCAAAGACAGAAAATCAGCTCCAAGTCCACATTCATCTCATCTGATGGGACATGGACAAAAGCCACCCCATGAGGCCTCAGGGAAGACCAGCACTGAGCAGTGTCAAACCACAAATTCTCCCCAGTGCCTCCTGCAGGACCTCCCACCCTGCCAGCCTCCCAGCCTGTCCCAGCCAGTCCTGCCACACCAGCTCTGTGCTCCTGCCCATCACCCAGAGCCCACTGCCATCCACACCAGCCTCTCATCAGCCTCAGTGCCAACGACTGGAGTGCTGCCTGGTAAATGGGACTGATTTTCCCTCTTGAAGGAAACACCACATAGAAAAAGCCAGTCCTGAAATTGCAGAGAGGAGGCGGGACGAGCAGGATTCCATGCTTTAGGGCACAGAGCTTCCTTCATCCATACATGCCTTAACTTAAGCTGAAATGAGAATTGCTAAAGCAATAACCAGTGTTTGAAAGATTGAAAGATTTTTTTTCCCCACTTCTGGTGCTCAGATGGGCCAACAGGAAGCAACAACAGATTCCCTGCTTCCTCCAGTGCTGGGCTTCAATTCACCTCCACCTGCACAGTGCAATCTGTGCTCCAGTTCTATCCCAGGCAAGATGGATAGGGAGAGAGAAGGACATTAAATGGCAGGGAGAAAAGGATCAGAAAAGGCACAGGGGGTAGGGGGAAAAGAATCACAAGGTTAGGAAAGAGGTCAAACCAAAAGATCATCCACAAGGAACTCTTAAAAGAAAGTTAAGAGTAACGAATATTTAAAGCGGATTACTTTTCTGTAACTGCTCATATCTAAGGGGGAAAAAGGCAGGCACCAAGTGAAAGAGATCAAGGTAGAGATAGAAAAAGCAAGGGAGACATAGAAAGATCTTCTGTTATTTGAATTTCTTTTCATTCACCTGTCTGAACCTGGATTTACTATGGCTGCTACCAAATACCTCTCAGGGTAGAGCTGAAAAGCACCTGTGCTGTCCTCTCAAAGAAACTGCCTTCTAGCTGGCCTCCCTCTTTGCTCTCACAAGCAGAAAAAAGTGAGCTGATAGAAGACATACATACTGCTATGAGAATGTCACAGCCATCATTGTAAAAAAAAAAAAAATCTGCGTCAATCAATCCCAGAGTTCACCTGTCTGTTCCTGAGGTCATCTGCTACAATGCCACCAGAAAATCTCTCTTCAGCCCACTGAGAGAAATGCCATTTCCAGCTAAATTAATTTGTGCTGCCATCTTTACTTTGGATTAATTAAATTAAGAGTTAGCAAAACAGGTATTTAATTATACGCATGACACATTTTTCCAAGGGTTCCTTAATGATGCAAATTTGTTGGGAGAGATTCATGTCAGCGTAACTGGTTATAAATGGCCTCATTCACTGTTCACCCAAAATGTTAATTGCCACCTTTAACACCAGCAGAGTGTGCAGAGACTCTTAAGTGAAGTGAGGGAACATGCTGGGACGCCACTCCATCAGCTGGAATAGTGACAGGGCAGAGCCACTGGCTACAGGGCATTGATCCCACCTCAGGGCCATGCCCAGCGTCCTGCAGGCAAATGTGGATTCCTCCAGAGATAAGAAACTACATCCCAATATCTGCATGCAGCCCTGGCAGCTCCCAGCAGTGAGGAGCTGCTCCATCCCCTGACCCAGAGGAGCACTGACACCGTGGCAGTGATTGGGACCTTCACGTTGTTCAGTACCTTCCTTACAGGCACAGAAACTTCCATTTCCTTCTAAAAGGCCATCTGATAAAAGAATTTACTCAGAATTTCAGAATGCATATTAAACACCATCAGCTTACAGCTCATTTCACTGAAACATTCTGCTGGGTACCAAGTTCTATTTGAGGTAGGGAACTGTGCCACTGAACATAGCAACTGCTCTGGCATTACCTGGCTGAGCTCTGGTGCATCAAAATAATGAAATGCAGGATCGATGGCATTCGGCACAGTACAAGGGCATCAGCCTTCATGGTTTTCAACAAAGCTAGAACTTTAAAGAAGAAGGGACTCTTGGACAAAAAAGTTTTCCTAACCTGGTTAAAGAGTCATCACTTGGTTTTGGATTAAGTCCAAGCAAGGGTTGGAAAAAAAAATCACAAGTGATCATCTCACACTTCATCCTTACAAAAAAGCACAGAAAGAAAAGTCTTCAGAGGTGAGGAGGAGAGGACAACTGACTGAAGAGGGTCACACACCAAGTCACCAACAGAGTCAAGAACAGACTCCAGGGTCGCTCTGACCTCCTACACCCCAACTCCAGCTGCCTCCCCACGCTGGGCTCACACCAGGCTCCTCACTGCCTGTGCTCTGTGTTTGACAAGGGAAACAGCCATGATCCTGGGTGAGGCCAGCTCAAGTTCTCTAACACAAAATTCTCTTCCCAGACTCCTCCAGCAGAGCACATTAAAGAGAATGAGACATTTCAAACCTGCCACATTTCTTATGCCACCATCCAGAACAAAAGTGAAGCCTGAGGTCACCAACCAGACACCTGCAACTCCTCCTCCAAGACAACCTCACTGAAAAACTCCTTTCAAGCTTGGCCCAGAGAATCCCACCATTCACTCTGCTAACAGAGTAAATACCAAATACCTCTTGTAGCCCAAAAATTGCAAACCCAGCAAGGGCTCCAGAGAGTATTTCTTTGTT